TAAGATGGGTGTTTCATCAAATGCTTTTAACTCTTTATATTTTTTTCTAAAAAAAGTAAGATAAGTAATAAAAAATATATATAAAAGAAAAAAAAAATATTAAATTTAATTTTTTATAAATAATATATTTAATAATAAATTATTTATAGAGAGAGAGGGTATAATCTTTTGTTAGCCAATTCATTTGTGTTAACTATACAAACTCTTTAGAAACTAATAGGAATAATCTAGTACCATAGTTTATAGATTCCTATGTAATTAATAACCGAGGGTAAAATAGTAAGGTTGTGTTTTATCTATATTATATTATAAAGCATTTGACAAAATCTTTTAAAAACCATTTTTTATGCATAAAATATTGTTTATTGTTGCATATTACTTAAAATTTAAGATTACAAATAAATTGTGCGTAAGTACAACTTATTAAAGCTTCATGTTTGAATTCGTGTAACTAACTGCAGATAAACATAATTAAATAGAGAATAAACATCTCATTTTAAATATAAAAAATATAAAATATAATTAGAATAATTATCAAGTTCTATTGAAATACTTAATTATTGTCTTTATAAAAAGTTATGTTATTAATAAAAAAAATACAAAAATTAGTTAAAGAAATACGAAAAAAAATTAAAATATTTGATTTGATACTAACATAAAAAAAATTCAATTTTTTATAATATTTTCATATTATATTTTATGCAAAAATAAAAACATTATCGTTTTCTCAAAACCATATAAAACCGTATTATAACATCGACTGGAAAAAAAAAATGAAACACTAAAATCGATATGTATCTCGCTGTATTATACGAGTACCCTTACTTTAATGGTGGATAATCACCAGAAAAGTAATTAATGCTAAAAAAATCTCACTACTTTTTTCCAAAATTACCCATTATTTATTATTGTTCATATATATTCATAAGCATTATCTTTTAATTTGTTACAAAAATGTCATGATGAATTTTATCCATAGATTACAAAGATTAAAGGCTAGGATTGATTCATAAAGTTGACACCATATACCAGGTTTCTCACTGGGCGGGTGTCATTCCGACACATACTCATAGACGAAAACGACAACGAATCACAAACTATAAAAATGAAAACTGTAATTCCAGAAACATAGAGGTGAAAGTTGCAATTCTTAACAAACTACAGGGACCAAAAACGTAATTTAAGAACATGGTCATTGGTGTGCACGTTATCACAACAACGCTATTGTTACCGAGGGATTCCATACTCTCTAACCCCAAGCACGCCACGTGTCACAGATCGGAACCCTTAAAAAATACATCTCCGAGTTAAAGGTCAAAACTGAAGGCCACCCCCCGGCCCCCTCCTTCCTCCGCAATTTCCCCCCTTATTCTCTCTCTAGAAAAACAATGAAGTTTCTATCTCTAAAACCGGCTTTCCGGCGATATTCATTCTGCCGTTACTAACACAGCCATGGCTAATCTGAAAATGCACCGGTGAGTATACTGGTATAGATACATACACTGTATATATAGACATATAGATACAGAGAGATATCGATATAGGAATATCAAGGATGTGGAGATCGTCGTTTTTGAGGTTGAAAGAAGGGTTGTCGTTAGGGATTGTTAGGTCTAAACCGGTTTTGTTTGGATTGAGAGCAGCTGGTTCCGTTGAATCTAATAACAGATTCTGTGGTTGTTTGTTTTCGAGTTCGGCCGGCGGAGAAAGCGGCGGCGGGGACGGGGTAGGAGTAGCGCGAGCGGTTGACGATGGTGATAGTATATCGTTTGCGGAGGCGAAGAAGCTGATGAGATTGGTGAATGTGGAGGCATTGAAGATGAAATTTGGTACGGAAGGGAAGGAGGTGATTTGTTATTCGGAGCTTTTACAGGCTTGTGAGAATATGGGGGTTGCGAAATCGGTTGATGAAGCCAAGACGTTTGCGAAGGTTCTTGATGAAGCTGGTGTTGTTCTCATTTTTAGAGATAAAGTTTACCTTCACCCTGATAAGGTACAGTCTAACCTTCTTATGAAAATTATGTTGAATTCGATTTGTATTTGTTTCAATCTTATCTTCACGTCCTCTCGATGTTCCTATATCTATCTCTGTATCTATAATTATGTCTCTCTCTCTCTCTATATGTATACAGTGTATATATACCGGTACACTCACCTGTGCATTTTCAGTGGTGCTTTAGAGATTAGCCATGGCTGTGTTAGTAACGGCATAATGAATATAGCCGGAAAGCCGGTTTTAGAGACCTATATCTATATCTATGTCTGTTTATAATATGTCTATATCTTTCTCTATATGTCTACGGTGTATCTATACTAATATACTCATAAGTGCATTTTGAAAAACTGATTCGATTTGTATTTGTTTGTTACTGAAAATTGTGTCGAATTGGATTTGGATTGTTTCAATATTTTGTGCAAATGTTTGGCCACGGATGTTGATAGGAACACATTCTTTGAAAATTGATGGGTCCCAAAGTGTATTTATGGAACTCTCTTGTGTTGCTTTGAATTGATTTAACTAGATGATTAGAGATTTAGGACATGAAAATTGAAAAAGTATATATTGCATTTGTGGGGACTTCCATAGGATGGACAGAAAGAACAAGGCTTTGTAAAAAGGCTTTGTAACAAGCTCTTGAGATTGATGATTGCAAATTTTCACAAAAATTCTCTATTTTTCTCTCTCCACAAAGGAGAGTTAGGTATTTGGTCTTCATTGAGCTAGATCTTGGGATGAAGAACTGTTCTAGTTTAGAAAAGGCCAACAATTTGCTCATTTGGTTACTTGAACATGAGGTCAGGCTAAAATCTGTTTGATTTCAATACTTTCGTTGTTTTGTAAGAATGGTATCACTAGCATTTGGCAAATTTTCTAGTGCTTGACTAGAATTTGTGTTGCGTACTCTTATTTAGCATATTTGTCTTTTTCTCTCTGGATTTATTGATGTTGTTCACTCTAATCTTAGTTTTCATTTTTTAGCATATCTGTTTTCTCCTTCCACACGCATTTCACTAGTCTGCTCTACTCTTTAGGGTAGAGGACAGGTATGTGTACATCCCCAGACTCCATCTCCAGATGGGATATACCGGGCTCGTTTGGTTTGGTTTGGTTTTCCTAGTGCTTGACTCTCCCTGTAGGTTCCACTTCACTGAGTTTGAGTGGTATGCTGTCTGCGTTTTGTGTGAGAATATATTCTTCCTCCTGGCTTTGTGGCTTACTCAAGTTGCATTTTTACTGTGTGTTAATGTTGTCTCTCATTTCCTGAGCATTTTCATCTATCCATTTATTAGCTTGTTGATTGCTCTCTGATATATGTGATTAGCTTCACTAGAGATCTAATTCATATGTTTAGAAAACATATAGAAATAGCATATGACGCATTTTAGGAATGACTGATGTCAAATGTCAAGTACAAAAACCACTCTATATTAGGGGTGACAATTATGTACCAAACTAAACCAACCAACATGTGTATCAACTGTACCAGTTAATTGGTACCAATTACAATCGATTGGTAGTACCGTATCAAGTATGGAAACTTGGTTAGTACACGGTATTGGAAGTAGCATACCATGGTACCGACTTATGTAATTATTTATTAGTTTTTGAATTATTTATGTATTAAATATTAAACTTTCTAACTTCAACTATTTTGAAGAACATTTGGATGCTTACAAGCTTTATTCCTTACAATTAAAAACCCTTGAAGATCAGATATATTACCTGAAAACTCTAAATGTCCCTAAATATGAACATAATGGCAAGTTTTCATGTATATACTAACATGTACCAACCGAAAAAAGTTGGTATTATATATTTGTCCATTGTCTAACTATAAAATGTTTCCTGTAACTTTTCACTATTAAAGGGTGTTTTAGAGAGTCACATATTTGTCCATTGCCTAACTATAAAACATTTCCTGTATTTTTTCACTATTAAAGGGTGTTTTAGACAGTCGCATATTTACTTGAAATTGCTTAGAAATAAAGGTGTGATAAAAAATCTGCTCAGTGGAAGAATGGTTTATATAGCAGAAAAGCATAGTCTTTATAGGCTTTGTGTGCTTTAAGCTTTGAGAATCAGAATCCTTTTGTGTATAAGATATTAATATAATTTTCTGCTTTCTAGTCTTTGTAAAAAGGCATTTTTTTTCAACAATACGTTATTCAAAGGCCATAGGAGGTAAAGTGATAAAGAAGTGGTGTTTTCTTTCGTATAGTGGAACTAATTTTGAGTTCTTTTTTATTATCTTATGGCTTACAAAAAAGCGCTGGCGTTCATCACGCCTTCATCTACTTTCAAATACCTTTAGTCACCTTCACATGCATGTTCAGTCATGGTGCGGAGGTAAATGAAGGTAGATGAACATGTGTGAATGCATGTAGATGAAGGTTTCTGTTCTCACCCTTATCACCAAAAATAGTGTTCTCACCGGAACCCAACCCTTATTTTACAAGTACGTGATTGGCTGCTACTTGATTTTGATGGTCTTTGGTGTGTGTTTGTGCTATATAGAAGTTGTAACATGGCATCTGCATGAGAGTTGAGACTTGTTTGATCTTTTTGGGAACCTACCTCAAGTCTACTTGTTGAATTGATTAAGAGAATAAAATTATGAACATCAATTGTTTAGGGATGTGGATTCACTAAAATGCAACAGAATCTGTCTTCTATTATTCGTTTGATCCTGATATGCTTACCAACTCATTTTTGGCTAGAAGTTATTGAGAGCTTTCCACCTGTTAAATGAAATTTCATTTAGGAACCGTAAATATTTCGAGAACTGTAAAAACCAACTATTTGTTATTATGTATCTTGCATTTTCATTATTCATGATGAAAATCTATTTGCGATATTAGTTATTGATATTCCTATGAATAAATCAACAAATAGTTGGTTCTCACGGATCTCAAATGAACCTGCCCTTGGGTTCCTATGTCGTTTCTCACATTGGTGTACACAAGTCTATATTGACTCACCAAACCAAACAGCAACTGGCCTCTATCCCAAAGAGTAGAGTGATTGTTTTCGTGAAAAGACCTTTAACTCCATTAAACCAAACAAACACAGCATGTCCCACCTGGAGGTGTGGTCTCCGGAGTGGGTTATACGCATACCTGACATCTACTCTAAAAAGAAGAGCAGACTAAAATTTTCTAAACCTTAATTCATCTTCTAGTATATAGTCATTAATCTAACGTTATGTACGGTTATTTTTTGGATTAATTAGGTGGTGGATCTTGTGAGGAGGGCGGTACCCCTTGCCCTAACAGCCGATGACGATCCAAGGAGGGAGGAGCTGAAGAGGTTACAAGCAAAGCAAGAAGAAATTGACATGCAAGCCCACCGACAGGTCCGTCGTATCCTCTGGACCGGGCTCGGATTCGCACTGGCTCAAATCGGGCTCTTTTTCCGTCTAACGTTCTGGGAATTCTCTTGGGATGTTATGGAGCCAATTGCGTTCTTTGCAACCACATCGGGGCTAATCGTGGGTTATGCTTACTTTTTGATTACGTCGAGGGACCCCACGTACCAAGACTTGATGAAGCGGCTGTTTTTATCGCGAAGAAGAAAGCTGATGAAGAAACAAAATTTCGATTTCGAAAGATTGATGGAATTGCAGAAGAAATGCAAGTCACCTTTGGATGCACATCCTTTGGCAAAACATCAAGTTGCAGGGGTAGAACTGGAAACAAAGGATTTGTTGCAAAAGAATTAAATATAAAAGGGTATAGAGATCCTTTGTGAATTAATGGAAAAAGAGAGATAGAGGTGAGATTTGAGGTTGAGATACCAAATATTTGAATATGCCCATTTGACCGGATCACATGAGACCATACTGTTTTCATGAGATTCGTGAGACCACATAAATAACACTAAACCTTTAGAGGTGAACATTTGGTGTTTTTTGTACCTTTACAATGCGTTAATGTAAGGTTTCAGTGTTATTTTATGGTCTTACGTGTCTCACGAAAATAGGTTGATCTTACGTGAGCCTCAACCTGCTCATTTGTGGGTTTAAAAGTTGTGTTGCAAGGTTGAGAATTTTGACAGTGAAATGGAGCTTCATCAAATGGATTTGATCATAGAAATGGGGTTAAATATCATCCATCCAAAATTTCCTTTTCTTTGAGTAAATTACATTTGTTGTTCCTGTGTTCTTTCAATAATTTTGATTTTTGTTCTTATGGTTTAGAAATTATGATTTTATGTAAGCTGTTTACCAAATATTTATCCGGGTAAGCGTTTACCAAAATCATATTACCTTATCGGATGAATATTGTAGGGATTAAGAATCTTACCTGGTAAGAGGGAGACAAGGATTGAGAGTTTTATCCGGTAAGTGAGGACGACAACTCTTATCATGGTAAACGCTTACTGGGTAAATTGTTGCATATGATGTCTTTTTGGTGGACTAAAGTCTTTACCCCATAAATAGGTGGTGGTGTTAAATTTTATCGGTAATCGCTTACTGGATAAGTGTTTGGTGAACGACTAAAATGTAACTATTTTTGTTCCATGACTAATTCTTATAATTAAGTACAATGGATCAAAACAATAAATGATTGCAAATTATGGGGACCACTAACATTAAATTGTAAATCGTAGGGACGAAAATAACAATGAATAATAAATTATAGGGATGAAAATCGCAATTTCTAAACCGTAGACAAAAAGATGTAATTTACTCTTTTTACGTTTGTTAAGTCTGTAAAATCATGTCATTGTTTAATTTGTTTTTTTATTCTCGTTTGGACAAATAGATTATGTGGATGCATCTGATTGATGGACATAAAAATGACAGCAAAACTTGGGTCCGATGATTTTTATTTTAGAAACGATTATGACGAATGCACTGTAGAACCAACCCTGATTCATTCACGGATTGGATCAAAGACGGGTAGTATAGAAAGCATCTTCAACATTTTTTTTAAATGGAAAATTAACATTTTCAAAAAAGAAATTACATTCAACTCCAATAAGTTTTCTCTATTTTGAGAATTACAACATCAATTATGTTATTAAAATATTCAATACATTTTAATAAAATATACTTTTTAATAAATATTTAATGTTGGAATAGTAAAACATCATTTCTTTCTCCTAAACGGTCAGTTTTAGATATTTTCCAAATTTGAAATCTTTAACCATCTCTGTCACATTTTCTCTATTTTGGAAAATATATGTAGAAGCAAAAAATTATCTGAAATTCTTTATTTTCTTTATTTTAAAAGATCTGTTGAAGATGCTCTAATCCCCAACCTCCATCCCCATGGGTCATTCCATCCCTGCCCGTATTTATCCCGTATGTGGTTTTGTGATTATTTTGACGAGAGAATGTTATGCATACATAAACAGATGTATTTTTAACAAATAATAGGTAGCATTTAGCCCATCGTTAAGGGTGGGGCTGCACATGGGTTGTATTAACCGAGTTGAAAACATTTGAACAACCGAACCCAATGTTTGTGGTTTGAAAATTTGCAACTCAACCCAACGTTTGTGGTTTGAAAATTTTCAACTCAACCTAACCCAATCCAAATCTTGCGGGTTGGGTTTGATTGGTCGGGTTAAATTTTTGATACATCATCTTACAATCTAGCTAAACGTTTTGTTTAATCGAAGTAAATCAAAATGAGAACATAAAAAAAAAAAGTAAAATTACGGTTAAAATTGTGATATAATTAATTACAGGATGGTCTAATGTCTAACATACATATATCAATCAATTACTTAATAATCATCTTAATTCAGTAGTATAGAAAGGTATCAGGTTCATCGGGTTTGATCCAAATTACCTTAATCCAATTCCAACCCAATAGATACAGTTTCACTAATTTTATATCAGCTATTTCAGATTACCTAAAGTTAACTCAAAATTTGAATTGAATTAACTGAATTGATCGGTTTTTTGAACACCCCTAATTAACGGTACAGTATGGTGTTGTTGGTTAGGAAAATTGTTGTAGGAACGAATGATGATATGGATAATTGGGTCCCACCATACCAATCTCTTCAAACTTCCCATGTGTTTATATGCATAAGGATGAGGGCAATGACATGGACTTGGTTTGGACCCATTCTCATTTTAGATTTAAAATAATAAATTTTTAATATTTTAAAAGTGTTAATACGAAATAATTCAATCCAAAATAACTCGATGTCTAATTAAGTTGTAAAATTTTCAAACTGTAAGTATTGGGTTACTATTATTTGAGCTCAACCCAACCCGATAAACCTGATATCCTTGTATTTCTTGGATTTAATATGATTGTTGAGTTTTTATTAATATATACGTTAGACGATTACACTATCACGTACGTTCTTCATATACATATATTCTCCATCTCTATATAACTTGTTCGTATATATGTCCAGTAACTGTGAACATATATATGTAAATTGAGAAAATTAATTGAATATGATATACGTAAGATTTAAGAAGTATGAATAAGTTGTATCAAATGGTTGATGATGAAAAAAATAAATTATGAGTAGAGAAATAACATATTCAAATGTAGATGAATATATTAATGTATCAAAGTATCAACCCGACCAATCCGTACAGTTTGGATTAGGTTGAGTTGCACTTTGGTTTGAATTAGGTCAAGTTAAGATTTTTAAAACTACAAGCATTAAGTTGGATTGTTCAAATGTCTTCAACCTATGAACACCTGGTTAGATGCCGACTTATATTCTGAGTGTAGTTTTGAAAGAGTAAATTGTATTTTTAGTCCCTATACTTTTAAAATTACAATTTTTCTTCTTATAATTTACAATTTATTATTGTTTTCATTTCTGTAGTTTACAATTCATTGTTGTTTTTGTCCCTCATTCTTAAAAAGTAAGAGTTAGCCTCAAAGACGGAAATAACAATGAATTGCATACCGCAATTTCTAAACCACAGGAACGAAAGTCACGATTTTTCTTCTTTTTTATGCTCGAGAATATAATGGTATTTTACGTGTCATAAAGAAATAAAAAAGAAAATCAAAGAGTATTTGGTTTAGCGGTATGTGAGTCTTTGGTCTTATAGGCGGTCAAGGGTTCAAATATCACCAAATGTGAGAAGAGTGTATGAGTTTATTTGTTCTATTTGTTGTATATAAATATTATATACTTCAATAAAAAGAAATAAAAAAAATTAACGGTTTGAGAAGAAAAGAAAGTACATAAATAACGCTAGAAAATGAGAAACTTTGTGTTCTTGGATTATTATCAACGTTGTTTGTGAATAAAAGGTGAGCCACAAAAAGTCGAACGATATTCCATTGATGACATAAAAATAAAGAAAACGTTTGTTCTCCGTCTAGATCGATAAAAATTAAAGAATCAAACCAGGACTGAAACCAGCTATATTATGGGAACCCGCTTCCTAAAATATTAAAATTTTGTTATTTAAAAATAAAAAATAAAACATTGTCAAAACACTAAATAAATAAACAAGAATACAAATTATACGAAATAATGGTTACAAATATTGTTTAATGATTACAAACCATAATAGACTAATAGTAAATATTGAAAGTTTAACGATTACATACTATAATTGTAAATGTTCAAAGTTTAACGATTACATACTATAATTCGATTTGGAGACGGTTCGTGAGAGGCCTCAGACCTGAGAGTATGAGTCGATGAGGCACAGAGGCGGGACCAAAAATCTAATCTAGAGTTCTAAGTTCTTGACATAATTTAAATTTAGTATTAAAAAAGATTAATTGTTTTTTTTAATTGAAAAATACCGGGTACCCACCGGTTCCATTCAGGGTACCCACTGGTTCCGGGTATCCGGTCCCGGAACCGGTTCCAGCAGGTACCCGGTGGGTAACGGTTCCGAAAAATTGAGAACCGGAACTGGAACTATTTTCAATCGGTTCCGTATTTTAGGAACCGGAACCGGCAGTTCCAAGGCAGTTCCGGTTCCGCAAGTGGGTACCCAGTTCCGCTGCTCACCCCTAATGTACACTAGGATGAGATGCACCGAGTCAATCCCCATATCAAGTACGATTCATGGGTGAGTTTGAGATTAAAGGTAATCAAGAGTTCAGATTCCTTCTTATGCCTCTCATCTTAACTCTCATTTCACACGATCTTTTGCATATATATATATATATATATATATATAGACTTGGGATCATGTGAGACCAGCTTGTTTTCGTGAGACCCGTGAGACCAGCATTTTACATTTGAAATTTCACAGCAAAATGCTGTGAAGGTGACTTTTTAAAACCTTCACAGTGTTTTTGCTGTGAAGGTTCGACTTTTTTTAAACCTTCACATTGTTTTTGCTGTGAAGGTTCGACTTTTTTTAAACCTTCACATTGTTTTTGATGTGAAGTTTACGTGTAAAAAATGTGGTCTCACGGGTCTCACGAAAACATGTCGGTCTCACGTGAACCCAACCCTATATATATATATATATATATATATATATATATATATATATTATAGAATCCCTTTGAATTCTCCATAAGAACTCTTGTAAAAAATATTGGTGATTTTAGTGAAATCACCGATTCATTTTTATGTAATTGAATGCACAAAAGAATATAGGTTTAGTCAAGTTATAACAAAGGCTTGACAGAGACAAATCCATAAATTTTTTAAAGTGGTTACACCAATTAACTATCATCTTATAAATTAAAATTAATGTTTTATTAAAAACAATAAAAAGTTAACCTTAAATATTAATAAATTATCATCATTTTCAACAACTTTTCATGTTTTTTTATAAAACTTTACACATATCCTTAAACTTTCAATAGTTATGATTGCACACAATCAAATCTATGTTTCACCATTACCAAACTTACAAAATATACACACCATGGAACCAAATTTGTGGTTGCATAGGATACGACACCACTGCTAGCGTAAGCTGACTAGAACCCGAGATTGTTGGATGGCTTCTTATGATAGGGTTTTAAAGACCGGGTCCTTGGAAAAATGAGCTCTAAGGGTGCGTTTGGTATATTAGACAGAACAAGACAGATTCATGTTTCATGTTTGGCATGACTTTTATGTGGAACAAACAGGAACATAGTGAAATAAAATAGAACAGGTCTGTTTCACCCCTACCCAATGGAACATGATGGAACAAGGTGAAACAAACTTATATTTTACCAATATAAACTCAAAATAAAACTTAATTATCTTCTAAAATATCAAATAGGTTTTTTTTTTACATTTTATTCATTGTATTTTATGTTTCTTAAACTTTCATTTTATTGTTTTCAAAATATTATTTTTATACGATTTCTATATTTTTTTTATTAATTTATTATTTATTAATAACAAAAAATAATGTAGAAAATGGGTAATACAAAAATGGAAAACTACATAAACTTTTTNACTTTCATTATACTGTCCTCAAAATATTATTTTTATACGATTTCTATTTTTTATTAATTTATGTAATTCATTATATATTAATAATAATAAAAATAATGTAGAAAAGAGATAAAAATTGGAAACTACATAAACTTTTTATTTGGTGTCATATTAATTGTTTTTAAATGATATATTTTATTATAAAAATAATTATTCTCTTATAATTTAATAAATTACATACATTAATCAAACTAAACAACCCATTAGAAATAAATTGGTCATTTTACTTGTTCTGTCCAATTTTATCTTACCAAACATTAAACAGTTGTTTTATCCTGTCATGTCTGGACACCAAACACAACCAATGTCCCAAGTGAAATTCCAAAGCCTCCTAGTCTTGTTCAAAAGCTTCCAACTCTAAAGCGTTTTTTAGTTGTCTTCTGATCCGTATAAGCAGTTACTTATCCGCTCACTAACTATTCAAACAATCACTTGCATTTAATGAGTTATTCTCACATTTAATATCGGAGTGGTTACAATTATCTAATTTTAATACGGAACGATTTTGCCATAATCGTTACACTAAAAATCGGAGATTTATCCTTAAGTTGATTTCACGATACTCGGACAAATAAGGGTCGAAATATAAATTAAAAGAAAACGAGCTCGTACGCGATGTTTTGCACGAAACTTTGCGTGAGCCATCGGGAACATATTTAAACACGCCCCTCACAGTTGTATCCAGAGATCTACCCAATGTTTCTTTGCTAAAACACAAAGATAAAAAGTTCCTACTTATATACAGATTTAACGTTCAGTAGCCAATGCGGGACTCTAACAGGATCATACGACTATATGTTTTGAATCTTTTTTCTTCCGATTCAAAGACCAAACGTCAGTTTCGTTTGTCGTAAATGGGTAATGAAGCATCACATAAGTTTGTAAAGATTGTTCTTCTTAAAGATCAAGAACTCACTCTCAATGCAACTCAGAAGATCAATAGCAGTTGCTTCTGTAGATCCATTGAAATGCTTCAAAATGTCAGATAATGTAACCTGCATATTATACATGACCAAAAAATACCAGTTTGGTGAGAAAAATACAACTTTATACCGTCTTTTTTATGTAAATAATTCCAAAAAAAATATCCCACTTTGTGTTCGATAAATGAACGCTAAAATTGTGAGAATACATGGAACCGCTAGATTTTCTAAGCAGAATAGCCTCTCTCTTTTTTTGATTAACCTGGATACCCAACCCGCTATGCGAGCCGACTAATCCCRGGGCGACCACCTGCTTTGCAGATAGCCCGGAGTCATCGCATTTGAACCTCCGTGGCCACAAGAGGATTTTTATTCCTCCTTGGATTTGAACTTGTGACCTCCTAGTACTTTTGACCTTTGGGGTCGAGTTCAAACCAATCAGACACCACCCTTGTGGTTAGCAGAATAGCCTTTTAAAGTAGAGAAGAGAGGTTCCACGTATTCTCACTACAACAAAATCAGGTTTATAGAACACCAAAAAGTGTTTATAAGGTTATGTTCGGGAAACTAGCTGATAAGCTAGCTGTTAGATGATAAGCTAGATAATGAACTAAATACGTTTGGCAAAAACTAGCTGATAAACTAATTGAAAAACGTAAAATGACCAAAAAAGACATGTTTAGAAATTAATAAATTCTAACATTTCGTAGTATAATTAAAACAATCTACTAATGATAAAGAAAATGTTAATTAACACACACTAGATGGTAATGAAAATTAGAATAGAATATGTTAATTAATAAATTTTAATTTGATTTATTATTATTTTATATATAATGCTAAAAAAAATTGAATTTGGTGTCATATAAATCTGAATTTGTTGTAGTGTCATTAGGCCTCCTCCAATGAAGACTATATGGACAAAGAATGTCCCAAAGTGTGGAGAGGGGACTAGACGAATACATATTGCTCAAGAGTGTCGAGTCCCTCCTGGCTCTGATACCATGTGAGAATATGTGAAACACTGTAAAAATTTGCTCAACTTAAAGGGGTTTTTTAGAGAGTAATCTAACGAGGTTCCATGTATTCCCACGGAAATAACTCTACTCCCTCCATGCCCCCATGAAGAAGAAACTGAAAGGAGGTAAGTTTGACTTCCGAGGTTTAATTTGACTTTTGAGGTTAATGGATAAATTTTCAACTTCAAGATATATGGATCCTCTTCTATGAATTTTGGGAGATTCTAATGACCTTATTAAGCACGTAGTAGAGTTAAATTCCAAACGAAACAGGGATTTAATACTAAGCTAAGTTTTGCAACCTTAAGCTAACTTATTGAAAAAGCCTTGTTTGGTTAGGCAGAAAACTAGCTTTTTGAAACGCTACTTCAAGTAGCATTTCAATAAGCTACTCAGGGTTTTTCTTACACTTTTTCCCCTTGTATTTTTCCAAACAATTTTTCAAGATGTCCCTTTAAGTGATTTTAATCGCTAGTTTTTACCAAACATATTTTATCAGCTAACAACTACTCCATCCATCCCAAAATAAATGTCCACGTTCCTATTTTTGTTTGTCCCGTAAGTGTCCAGTTTCAAAAATAGATAACTAAATTCTCAAATCTACCCTTAATTAATGCACAATATTTAAGAGGTATGAAGGGTAATTGTCATTTGGTTAACTGAATTTTTTTTATAATTACGCATGTCTAGAACTGTGTCATTTCTAAATGTGAACACTTATTTTGAGACGGAGGGAGTAGCTTATTAGCCAAGTAGCCAACAACTAGTTTATCAGCTAATTTGTCAAACATAGCTTAAGACTAAAATCATTATACTATTTTGCTGCATGTTTTAGGATAAATCGATACTCACCCCGTTCTCAAAGTTCTGAATCCAATCCAAAAGGGAAGCTTCGGTAATCTCCAGTGAAGAACCAGCACCTTGTTCAGATACCTCAACTTTCTGGCGCTTCCTTGGAGAATCGCCAAAGAGTGAAGCTTCAGTTTTCTCAGGAACCGGCCTTTCAGTTCTATTACGTTCTTCTTCTGAAAGATATGCGACAGCGGCTCTTTCAGATTCTTCCGTTCCATTAGAATGTTGTTTGGAATGTTGGTTACTGGATGGAATTACTTCGGTTGACATTCCAAGATCTTGCATTGTCAACCATGCTTTGATATGAGTATAGTCCACCTGATAATCGTATGGTCGGAAAAAAAAACAATGGTAATCTATAACGGGTATTTACATTGTTTAGGTGTGTGATACACTGGACATGATAGAACAAAAACTTGTTGTCTCACATTTGGTGCTACATGAGACTGGGACAGGACTCGGTGGAATAAAAATTTGCATTTTCTTTTCCCGCCAAAAAAGGAGGAATAAATATAACGGAGATATGACAAGTTTGGTAAATTACTAAACTACCCATGTCAAATTAAAACCCTAAAACCTTTCACAATTCGTTCGCCCACCAACCTCACTCTCACCTGTTCAGTCCAATCCGGTCTCAAATGCACCCTCAGGGCCTGTTTGGTTTGGCGGAATGTTTTTCATGGATTTGGATTTCGTGAAAGGATTTGGAATTTTTGGTGTGTAGTATTTGGAATGGAATTGAATTCCATTCTTTATAAAAGCAAATTATAAAAAAATATTATAATAATTAAATTACATTTTTTAAAACATTAGTACAAATAAATCATATGAAATCTCGTAAAATACCAACTATCCCATGGGATTTCTAAATCCCATGTTTGCCAATTCTGGACTTCCCTAACCAAGTGCATGATAGGAATGGAATCCAATCCAAAATCCCGCAAACCAAACGGGCACAGAAAACGTAGTCACGGACTGTGCTATAATGCACCCCAAAAAGGTCAAGTAGTTCACGCTAACTCTTTTGGGTGGCGGATGAGTAGGCCAGCATAAAAGTTCCATTTCAGGGAAGAGGCTTGTCACGTAATGGATACAATTAGGAACCTATGCCCCACAACCCAAAGCGGCAAAGAACAAATAGAATTTGCTAATAGTATAAAACACGGTTCCAGACAAGGTACGATTGACTTTTGATTTTGATTTTGATTTTGATTTTGAAAGGCAAGCCTTAATTTCAAAAACTTTACCTCTTCTGGTAGTTCCTCTTTGATAGGTTTCAGTTTGTCTTTTGAGCCAACTTTCAAAATTGCAGCTTGAATATTAGCAGCAATCTCTTGCGTCAGTCCAATTTCGTTGAACAATCTAGTCCAGTCAACTACACATCCCTCTCGTGCCGCATCCAAGACATATCCGAGGACTGTGTTTACTTTTATTGGGGCCGATCTACCAGGAAAGTTCTAGAGAACAAATCGGAGCCGCCGGTAAACAACAGACTTTTAAACAGAAGAGTTGAACTTACCATTTATTTAACGGCAAAATGCAACAAAGTTTGCATTAGTTCCTATTTAGTGTAACAAAGATTTTTTTTTTCAAAAACAATGTAGCAAAGTTTCAAATTTCCTATTCAGTGTAAAAAAATTCAAAATTTTCTATTTTTTACCCATTTTGATCAGTAACCTGCTGGTCTTGTAACATTTGATGATGTGGACGTCATTTTTCCGTCCACTTTGTTGTAACCCTTCCATAAAGGGAAAGCCTCGTCTTCAAATGTTACAAGATCAGCAGGATACAGGTCAAAATAGAAGATTTTGAAACTTTTTTACATTGATTTACAACAAAATCCTTCATTACATTTTATATTAAGTATTAACTAAACCACACTTTGTTGCATTTTGATGCAATTTGCCCTCATTTTTTCCGTAAATAAGGCTTACAGCAATTTTTTCAGCCGAGAGACCATCCTCTTGCCACATTTTCCAAGCTCCATATTTTGCAGGTGGCAAGTCTTTCGGTTGTTTTGTTATCGTGTATGCTTTGCAGTTATTATTAGCTTGACTAGCTTCTACGGCTGCAGCACCATCCAAAGAAAGGTCCAGCTGTTTTGATAATTGCTGAATGCTTTGAAGAAGATGATCTCCATACCTTGTTACAAGGTGCTGCATTTGATTAACGACAAAAGATTTTAGAGTCGGCTAAAGGAGCAAATGGACATTTGATCTAATCATGAGAAAAATTAAAGATGATATTCAGCAACATTAGCAAGTATGGGTCCTGCTAAATTTACCATCATCTCAGAGACTCGGACGTTAGATATACTCCCTCCTCCCCAAAATAAATATCCAAAATGAAAAAAAGTGTAGAATTTTAGAAATGTGTAACTATTACACTTTACAATTAACTAAATGACAATTTTACCCTTAATAATAGAGGGAGTAATGAGTTTTCTCCATCTCATAATTAAGGGTAGAATTGGAAAGTAGGCACTTATTTTTTGAAGTGGACACTTATTTTGAGACAAACTAAAATAGAAATATGGACACTTATTTTGGCACAGTGGGAGTACCTGGTTGACACCGTCAATGTTTGCCAGCCTTGCTTTAGTAGATGGCCTTGTTGCCACTATTTTTTTCAATGTCAAATCGCCACATATCGCGTATCTGCAAATTAGAAAGTGATCTTAAGAGAAAATAATTGTCCACATCATTTGAATCAGTAAAGCTAGAGTTAGGGCCTGTTTATTAGCAACTTAATGAACTTAATGAAACTCACAGATTATCCGGTCAGCTATACATGACTGTTTGGTAGTGGCTTAATTATACAGAAAGTGGCTTATTAAATAAGCTTCTAGGAGGGAGCTTTATGCATAAAGCCAAGTTTTTCCATATCTGCTATCCGAATTAAAAAACACACTCCTTCCATCTATTGAAAAAAAAACCTCCCAAACAAAAACCTTTTCAATCCAAACAGACGGATTAATCCACAGTCACACAGACAACCATATAGGACTTAACAGAAAACCAACCAAGATATATTTAGGTTCTGCACTGCTAATAGAAGAATGAAAACTTACGGGGCAGTTCCAGCAGATCTTGCAAGCTTCATTCTCTCTTCTAAAAGCATTTTATAGAGTTCCGTCTCTGCCTAAACAGAAATTGATCAAATATCAAGAGAGAAATTTTCCTCAAAGACTAACCAAAATGATAATAAAGCATGGAACATGTAAAAATCAGCCAAGACTGGAACTGATCAAGAATGTTCGATATATTTTCGATTGGAGATGCAGCAAACGGTTTGGTATTATTAAGGGAAATTGATCGATCGTTTCCAACCTTCAAGGCTGATTTAAGAGCGTAATAAATGCACACAGAAGGATATATTAGATGAGAATGTGAATGAAGATGGGAAGATATTGAATGTAAGGAAGAAAAGAAGTCCTCTTAACCTACTTGTGACATTCCATTGTGTCCCGAGCTAGCAATGTTGTCACTGACTGTACTTTTCTTGTCCTCGTTGCCATCTGATTCACATGTAATCGGCAAAAGTAATGGAGGTTGGTGATCAGGCCTACAGGATCTCAGAAATTTTGCACCTTCTTGACTCACACTGGTACATGGAAAAATATTATATCAGTTTCATGATAAAGTCCACAAGCAGGAAACTATATTCTGTGGGTGACAAAAGAGAGAACCCTAGTGGCTGACAAGCCGATCCTCAGAATATATGAGAGAAGGATATAAGAAACACGTAATACATTTAGAGTTGCAAAGAAGAAACTGAGTTTAGCAATGTACCTGACAGTTCTATACGTATCTTTAACGGTCTCAACCAAGTAACCTGCATCAAATTGCATGATAGGTAGAGTTACTCCCAATGGATGATATTTCCCAAAAAAAAAATTATAACTGAAACTTAGAGATGCACAGAAAATCCCAAGCCCAAAAACGAGCCTGGGCCTATGATAGCTATATTTTCTTGGATGAAAATTAATTTTAAGAAGCCCTTATCTTAATCATTTTGTGAGTAAATGTGTTTATTTAACACTTGTTTTATTTTGTAGAGCCAGCCCAAAAAGAAAAGAAAAGCCCAACTTATGGCCTAACTTATGTGGACTTCATCAAGCCCAAATAAAGCCCACATCTTCTCCACATTTTTGATCGGCCAGAAGAGTTTGGAGAGGAGGCATACGGCAACAGCAGTACGTGGGATCGAGGGAGCGAGTTCGTGGGTTTGAAGCGGGAGAAACGTGGGTTTGAAGGATTTAAAATGGAGAATTTGATCGAAGCTTGGGGGCTGTTCGTTTGGGGCTGTCACGAGAGAAATAGAGAGACAGCAGAAAGGGGCTGTCAATTAGCGAGAGGCAGTCATCGAAGGGAGGCTGTTCGTTTTGGGGCTGGTTGTTTTTGGAAGCGGCCGACAGCAAGAAAAATCGAGGGCTGTCGATTAGAGGCAGAAATCRAAAAGGATCGAGAGCGAGGACAGCAGGTGGCTGTCGAYTGAGGGCTGTTGGGTTAGCGAGGGAGAGAGACGCAAGGGTGTAGAGGACGAGACGAGAGGTGGACAGCAGGTGGCTGTTCGATTGAAGAAGACAGAGACAGCAAGGGGCTGTCAATTGAAAACAGCAGCAAGCTGTTTGATTGGAGAAGATGGATG